CAGTTGTAGACTCAGTGCCTCTAGTTACCTGACCAGCCTGCCCCGCTTGCATTCAGTGCAATCCTTGGAGGATCGGGTCACATCAGTTCCACGCCTGCCTGTGCACAGACCCTCTGCAGCCTGCAGTCACAGCCACCCAGAGCTGCACACCCCTCTTGCTGGCTGCTCCCTTGCTGCTTGTTTCCCGACACATCCTCACCAGGGCGGTTCTTGAGATTTCCCTACACTCCAGAACATTGAGTGAGTGAGAGAGAAAAGCAGGGTGGATGTTGCATGTTGTGGGGGATGGGGACGGGGAGGATGCTTGAGGTTGGGAGAAAAAAGTGGGGCAGGGAGGATGCTCAAGGTAGATGGTGTCGATGAAGCTCACTCAGCACAGAACACTCCTGTTAGATGAGGAGCCAAGTCTTGGAGATGGGTCATTCAAATACACCCTATGAATATGGGATTGGGGCCACTCTGCCTCTACTGCTGGGTTCTCCTGCTGACACACACTCCCTCCAGAGCCCAGGGTTGAGAAAGAGCACTCTACGGAACAGCAGAATTCTGAAATTTCAAAGCATCTCAATGACACTTGGAAAGTTTGTCTCCAGAAAGACCGACACTTCTCTAGCTGGTGGCCCTCTCCACTGTGCTCTGAGCATGGGGCCTGGCTTCCTCAAGCAGCCAAGAGTTCCTCAGAGGCTTTCAACCTGCGTGCCTAATGCCCCTGCTCTCCTGTATGCCAGAGGACACTCCTACTTAGTGTCCTTGTCATTACCTCTCCATGATGCCCTCACCCTATGCCACTCAAGCCTCTGGCACTAGGTCCCAACAGCTCTCTGCATTAGTGGACTAGTTAGAAACTGGTAGGTTCAAAGGCCATTGAGGACAGACCCACCCTTCACAACCGGCAACTTGGAAAACCAGGAGCGGAAGCTGCAGGACTCGGACCTGGTAGAATGAGATCTGAGTTGTTATCTCTGGCCCTGGGTGGAGACATGGCTTCTGAACTGCCAGAAAGATCCTAGGACTTCTACCTAGCAGAGGCTTCCTGGTAAAGAATGAAGACATAACTTGCCTGTCCCTTAGGGATTAATCCAGTGGCCTGTCAATCACCTGCACAGGAAGGCACCTCTCAGGAAAGCTCTGTCCCAAAGACTTCAGTAGCACAGTGTGAAGTCTGCCTACACGTGTGGGCAGCATGACCAGCTCTCTGGTCACTGTCACTGCGTTTCCCTCCATAATGGTTCCTTGGGCCACTGTCCACTCTCACCTTTGAGAGTGTTCCACACTATGATATGTCTCATCTGAATTCTTTCCCCAGAGATGAAAAGGAGCCTAGATCAAGATCCCAGTAACAAGAGTTATTCTTCAAAATCTCAGTTCCATTCTCCAAATCCATCTGGTCCAAATTCCTCAGGGCTGCTTCACTGAATTCTTCTCCAGACTTGTCAAGGCTCAGTCCTTCCACCTCTCCCACAAGTTTTGGTGAGCTCCTCTGGGCTTCTGCTCCTTCCTCCAGTGAAAATTCACATTCACTCTCTCTGCCTAGCACAAGCATTCATTCACCAATTTTCAAGCACCCACTATCTTCAAGCCATGACTGAATATAGTATTTTTAAAATGAGCAGGTGCTGGGCCAATAAGACATAGTCCACAGTCTGGATTTCATTCAAGAAGTAACAGAATTCTATGAATTGTTTACAGCAGTGGAATTCAGCAGTAAGCAGGGCTCAGAGCAGCAAGACAAATGTGTGCAAATAGCAGGAGATGGAGCACGGAGTACAAAGCCAGACAAAGACCTGCTGTGTTGCTCAGGCTAGCTCAAACTCCTGGGCCCAAGCAATCCTTCTGTCTCAGGCTTGGAGCCAGGACTACAGACATACTACCACACCCTACTTCAGAGACTTTTTAGATAGAAGAGAACTGGAATTACGAAGCTCTCCCACTGACCTTTGTCTCCTCCATGGTTTAGAAGAGAGAGTCATTAGTCAACCGCAAAGCAAAGAATTACATTTCCAAGTAGGAAGAGTAAAAAACCAAAAACAAATAAGAACAAACCCCTAACCATGTGATGTGCTGTGAGGCTCTGGGTGTCACAGTACCTATCCACCTAAGTAAGGCTGCTTATCGTTCCACTGATCATCACACCCCTCATCAGAGGAGGCCTGGGTTGGCAATACTCCATACACAATGCCACACAGCAATGTCAGGGAGCTGGGGACCCACAGGAGGAGGGCAGATGCTGGCATTTGAGACCTGCCCGGATTCCATTCTTTTCTCTTGGCTAACTTTAATTTGCAGCCCTTTTCTGTAATAAACCAACTAACCGTTATCGCCTTCAGTGAGCTGAGTCCTTCCTGTGAACTATGACCAAGTGGGTGGCTTGGAGAACCCCACCCCAACTAGCAGTGTGGAGAGCAGGGCTGTTCCCCCTAAATTTTGTATCTCAGCAATGTTCACAGTGGACTTAAACTCTCCTCAGCTGCTAAAACTGAAGTGTCCCATGGTAAGGTGTCAATGTTCACCCTGCCCTGGAGCTCAGTTTTGATTTTATGTCTTCTGTTCTGTGCTTGTGCATGAAAACATTCTTTAGAAAGTGTATACAGGCCGGGCGGTGGTGGCGCACGCCTTTAATCCCAGCACTCGGGAGGCAGAGCCAGGCGGATCTCTGTGAGTTCGAGGCCAGCCTGGGCTACCAAGTGAGTTCCAGGAAAAGGCGCAAAGCTACACAGAGAAACCCTGTCTCGAAAAACCAAAAAAAAAAAAAAAAAGAAAGTGTATACAGGCTGGAGAGATGGCTTCAGTGGTTAAGAGCACATGCTACTCTTCCAGAGAGCACCCACTTTGAGCCACTCACAACAACCTGTAACTCCAGTTCCATGGTAACCGATGCTTTCTTCTGGCCTCTGCAGGCATATGCATGTACACAAGGGGCAGGTACACATATGCACGCATGCACACAAATAAAAACAAATCTTTTAAAAGCATTACTTTTATAATCAAAACATTACTTTTAAGAAATGTCCCTCAAAAGCTGCCTTTAGGAAATGTCACATGTCATTGTTCAGCAGAGAATGAAGCTAGGAAGTGCTAGAGCGGACAACAAAACCACTTCCAATGCACCCAGACGCTACTTTAGAGGGGACTAACTTCTATTCTCACTTCCTTGGGTTAATATTGTTATCATATTACATCACCGAAGTTCACGCGAGCAAGTAACAACTTCATTAAGAATATAAAATCCTAGCTGGGCAGTGGTGGTGCATGCCTTTAATCCCAGCACTCGGGAGGCAGAGCCAGGAGGATCTCTGTGAGTTCAAGGTCAGCCTGGTCTACAGAGTGAGATCTAGGACAGGCACCAAAACTACACTGAGAAACCCTGTCTCGGAAAAAACAAACAAACAAACAAACAAACAAACAAAAATCCTGTCCATACTTTTAACTAGTCAAAATCATTCTTAAAGTTTCACATATACTTTTGAGCTGAGGGTCTTTCTATTAACAGTAATACTTTTCCATTTTGTTTTGTTTTGCTTGAGGTAGGCCCAAACTTTCGATCTTCTCATCTCTACCTCCAACTCTTGGATGCTGGGGCTATACATGTCTACTTTTCCATTCTTGGGAAAGGGTTTGGTTTTAAGGCAAGTCAATTAGCTGGGCTACAGGGTTCTAAATTGAGTTTTTGTTTTTGCTTTTCAAGACAGGGTTTCTCTGTGTAGCCCTGGCTGTCCTAGAACTCACTATGTAGACCAGGATGGCCCCAAACTCACAGATATCCACCTGTTTCTGCCTCTCAAGTGCTGGGACTAAAGGTGTGCACCCACTTAAGAGTTCTAATTGAGCCGGGCGGTGGTGGCGCACGCCTTTAATCCCAGCACTCAGGAGGCAGAGGCAGGCGGATCTTTGTGAGTTCGAGGCCAGCCTGGTCTACAGAGCGAGATCCAGGAATGGCGCAAAGCTACACAGAGAAACCCTGTCTCGGAAAAAAAAAAAAAAAAAAAAAAAGAGTTCTAACTGAACAAATTTCTAGTGAAATGACCTCTTCACTCACTGTTGTCCTCTCCTCAGCTCTCAACTCAGAAGCCTGTGCACAAAGTATACAATCCAATTTCCACACCTCCAACCTGTCTATTTTGTGCAATATTCAAAAAGTGAAATTTAGCTAACACTCTCATTAGACCATTTTATAAAATACTCCAAGAACCTTTCACTTCAACCAATTGTGCAAGTTTAACAAGGTATTCTAACTTTAGGTAAGTGAAAGTTGTAAACAACATTAGAAAGATCATTGTCCTGATGGGCAGCTGGGAAAGATTTGGGAAGAAATGTAAATGACCTGCCATCCAAGCCAGTAAAATAAACACGAATGCAGTCTCTATGGGGACTGCAAAGGAGGCTGTAGCTTGGGTTTGAACAGCACCACACACAACTGTGAAACCCGCTATAGAGTAGACAGCTGCAACTCTCATTACTCCAATGTAATTGCCACAATAAACTGGCTGTTCACGAGCTAATAAAATGAGCCTATTTAAGAGCTAGAAGGGACTTAGTTCTAGAAATGATGACAGCTCAGAGGAGTTGAACCTTATCACCCTGAAAGCTGACCTGCTTGTCCAAGACGCCCTTCCTGGGTAACTAACCCCTTAATACCATGGACAGGGGCAGGGGGAGGAGAAAGAAGACGACCGACAAAGAAGAGAAGAGTTCGGTTAAAGGGGGTGGGGTGGGGGGGCATAGGATTGGAGAAGACAGACGTGCGACAAAGCATGCCTACAAAAACTTCACAGCCCACAGACAGCACTTTATGACAGCAACCCTGACATTAGCCACAGAGAACGCTTGGCTCCGGAGCTGGGTGTCGCGCCCAAGGTCAGGCAAAAGCCTGAGGTTGCAAACAGGGTCCGATTCTGCGGGATCGGCAGAGAAGGCAGTGGACCCACGAGGGGACTGCGGCTTGGAGGCCGCCAGGAGCAGCCTGGGGTCGTGGCCCCGGCCGCCGCACGCACTGCACTTACCCGAGGCCCGGGTGGGGTCGCCCAGTGCTGCGGCTCCTCGCGGCCGTCGGCTGCAGCGGCGCGAGCGGCGATGCATCATGCGACCGCGCTCATGGCCGGGCCGAGTGGACCCGGATCCGCTCGGTTCCGCTCGGCTCGGGCCGGCCGGGCCGGTGTACCGGAGGCAGCAGCCCAGCAGAAGAGGGAGTCCAACGCCGCGGCCTGGACAGCGGAGCGGAACGACCCCGGAACTGGACACGGCGAGGTCAAGGCGCAGCGCTTGCGTACTTCCGGCCGCGACGTCCGGGGCTTCCAGGAGGAGGTTTGTGAGGACCCTGGCGATTTCTTCCGCTACCGACCTTCCAAAAACCTAGCGGTTCTTGGAGAAGAGACAGCACTTACGGCAAGACTGCTAAACGGAGATCCCTGAGAAGGGTGGCCCGGAAGATAAAAACCGGCGCCTACGGGCCGCCGCGAGGGCCACGCCGCGTCGCCATTCGTGCGAAGAACTCTCCTGAGAACTTTTCCCGTGGCAACCTAAGTCTAGCAAGTGGCAACTCAGATCCTCTCTCAAGGCTGGCCTGTGCCAGGTGGAGAATGGAGAACTACGGAGATGGAGGACGGACGCATGGGAGTGTAAGCAACTGAGCCAGAGGGCGTTGGGGAGCCCGTGGAAGCGCCCTGGACTGGGGATAGGGTGCCTGGGTCCGGACTTCACAGCTCCACGATCTGGTCGCTGGAGCATCGTTGCAACCCCTTCCTGGTGACGGCTCTGAGTTTTGCAGAGGTAGAAATGTGCGTGTTTATGCCCTCGGGTCCCCTGACAGACTTGACACGATTTGTTGCACCGTTTGTTCAGGGCAGAGAAGTGTGTGGTAGTTAAACTGGCGGAAGCGGGATGTGTTGTAAGATTGGAAAAGGCTACATGAGAACGCAGGGATCTAGCCCATGGTCTGTATGCCATCTTCGCGGAGTTTCCCGTCCCTGCCTCCAGAAACTGCTATTCGAGCCAGACTTTTGGAAGTAAGGATGCATTACATTAACTTTACCAAAATCACAGCGTTTAAGGCTAGGTGCACGGCTACATACCAGCACTAGTGAGACTGAGGCAGAAGGATCCTGAGTTCGAGACCACTCTAGACTACATAGTAATGCCATCTCGAAAAATGCATCGTTTGGTTTAAGTTTTTATGGTCATATCTTTTTTAATTTAAATTTTATTTTTATGTCTATGGGTATTTTGCACCACACGTATGCAGTGCTTGAGGAGGCCAGAAGAGGGCATTAGATATCCTGGAACTGGCATTAACAGTTTTGAATTGCCTTACCGGTGCTAGGGAATCAAACCTGGGTCTTCTGGAAGGGCAACCAGTGCTAATAACAGACTAGCCTGTTCTCCAGCCTCCTTTATGGTTTTATCTTGTGCATCTGTATGTTCAAGATGGTAACCATCTTTCAATCAACTCTTGTTTGGCCTGCCCTGTGTAGCTGTTTCCTCAGTGGGGGAAATATTTGCTCTTATAGGAAAGGGAGGTTCAGGAAACTCACAAGACTCAGGAGGCCTCTCAGTTCATATAAGCAGTACACTGTTGCTGGCCAGAGGATACCTTCTGGAGCTTTGCGGGATGTGTCAGGAGCTCCAGTGAAGTAGTCTTCAACAGTGTTTTCCCATGCTAGGGTGGGCTATTGGTCCTCAGTCATCCATGCACCTAAAAGTAGCCCATCATGCACACATTTGCAGGTAATCTCAATGAACTCATCGGTTCACTGAAGTGGACTTGAATACAATTGGGACAGAATAGAAAGACAGGGACATCAAGGGACATGGGAAAGAAGCCCCTCACCCAGGGATCTACCTGACCTTTCCTGTTGACTGAGAGTCAAGAAACCTCAGCATGATTGATAAAGGCAACATTGCCTGCAGAGATAGTGTGCTCTCCTCAAGACAACTCAAACAGGATGTTAAAAACAGGAAATAAACTGTGCATACTCATGGCTAGGATGTTTGTGACTGTGACCTTGAGTACCCAGCCTAGCTGAATAACAAAAGCACAAGTGGGGGCACACCACACACACACACACACACACACACACACACACACACACACACACACACACGAGATTAAAATATAAATTAACCTTGGAGCTGGCATTAGAGATGGCTCAGTAGTTAATAACGCTTGCCTCTTTTGCAGAAGACCTAGTTTTGGTCCCAGCACTCATCCGCCAGCTCACCAACCAGCTGTACTCCAGTTCCAGGGGATTTGATGCCTTTTTATGACCTTTGAGGGCACGTGGTGCACAAACATATATGCATGCAAAACACTTATATACATAAAATAAATGTTTAAAGAGTTACCAGCTCATATATTTTACTTAACATTTCCTTTTTTTTTTTTTTTTTTTTTTTTTTTTCTTGAGGCCAGATCTCATGTAGCCCTGGCTAACCTCAAACTTACCAGGAAGACTTGGGTTCCATTCCCAGCACTGTGTAAACCTGAGTATGATGTTAGTCAGGATGGCTCATGCCTTTAATTCCAGCACTTAGAAAGTGAAGGTAGGAGGGCCCGAAGTTCAAGGTCATCTCAACCCTTTACTAAATTTTAAGCTTTGCTTAATCTTTAAACCTTGTAAATTACATCTTTTGAAGAGTGTAACTTAAAAGGCTGTAGGTTCATATGTGTGGCCATTGTGAAGACACCTAAGCATGCCTTCCTGGAGAAGCCCACACACCTGTCTTGAGATTGTGTATTACCCTCCTCCTCTGTGACTGTCTCAATACTTAATAAACTCACTAACTTTTTTCTACTTGGCCCATCCTGAAATTCTTTCCTTCAGCCAAGTCTAGGATACTTGGGTTGAAAGCCCTGAGCAGGAAGAGGACTCCTGAGGCTACTGGTGGCTGTATCTCCTCACAGTCACTGACAGAATCATTTCTTTAGTCTGGAGTTGGTGCACTATCTAGGGTGAACACATGCTTGTTCACGTCTAGCCAGGAAAAGCCATGCAACAGCCCGCTATCCTGGTAGTTTTGACTCCATGACCACTAGCTGGTGGCTAAGGTTTTTTGTATATCGTGAAGGGAAGGAAGGTTTTGTTCCTCTAACACCAAGACTGAATGGCCACTGTAAGTGGCATGTATTTCCAAAGAGCAATGCTAGAAGCATCTCTTTTCCTAAAAAGGCAATTTCAGGTTCTGTACAAAGTGAAATGAGCACGTGCCAGTGTGCAGTAGCTCAAAGATGAATCTAGAAGACAGACAGATACATGCGTAGGTAGTCAGGAATGCTGAGATGGTCTGCTTAATAAATACAAAGTGACTTTCAGGGGAGGGAGAGGTGAGCTAAACTTGTACTTGACAGATTCATCTGTGTATGTGATATCTGTCTGTGGACAAGAATCACTGGCAGCCAGTGATGTGGCTCTCTAATGGAATCCTAGCACTTAGGAGGCTAATGCAGGAAGATCACTATGAATTTGAGTTTAGCCTGTGATACAGAATGAAACCTTATCTCAAAAAAGCCACAAAATATGTAACGATGATGATAAGAATCATTGCACCAGCAGTCTTTAGTTACAGAGAACTTAAAGACAGGACTGCACAGAACCAGTGAGCCAGAAAGGTAGGCCAAAACAGACCTACTGCTTTCCTAAGATACGGCAAAGAAATCAGAACATGTCACACCACAGTACACCTCTAACTTCAAGTGAGCTGAAAGTCACTGGAAAGCTTTCTCTGCCTCCCCAACTCCCAGCCTAATGACAGTGAAGTCATGATTGGAGACTTCAGACTCCTTCACCCAGGAAGAGTGCAAAGAAGTGTCCTGTGAATTTCTGAGAACATAATCGGCCTGCCTGGCCTGCTGCCCTGAACTCTAAGACTGCTTTATCCTGCCCTTCGGCCGATGGATTCTTGGTTGACGGTGTTAGAGAGGCCGGATTTGCAGCCTTTCCTGGGTTTCCTCTATGTGTCCAGTGAGGTACATGGAGATAAATGGCTGCCTATTTTTCTCCTGGCAGTCTGTCTGTGTTCCAGGGCTCCAGCCCAGAACTCAGGAGGAAGAAGGAAAGGGTGTTCTTCCTCTCTATGTGCCCACCCTTTGGACCCATTCCCAAGTCTTTCACAAGAAATGGAGAGTGAAAGGACCCTCCCCTTGGCCCTGTGAGCCACTCTCTGAAAGCCAGGAACCTCTGAAGTAAAAAACGCGATGCCCTCCTAGAAATGCAGTTTCTGGGGCAGGTCCCCTAGCATCTAGCCTCCGTCAGAAAATGTTCCCTGAACCTGAACTAAGCTTTTTGTTTGTTTGTTTTTCATTTATTTGTTTGTTTGTTCTTTCTTTATTCATTTATTCATTTTGGTTTTCGTTGAGACAAGGTTCTCTGGACAGCCCTGGCTGTCCTGGAACTCACTCTGTAGACTAGGCTGGCCTCGAACTCTGCCTCTCGAGTGCTGGGATTAAAGGTGTGCACCACCACTGCCAGTCTCTTTTTCTTTTATTGAGACACTGTCTCACTGTGTAGCCTTGGCTGGACTGGACTTGCTATGTAGATCTAATGACCTGAGTCCAGTCTCTGCGACCCACATGTGAAGGAGAAAAACCTATTCCAACGAATTGCTCTCTGACTTCTACATGAGCACTGTGGCATTTGCGTGCGTGTGTGTGCGTGCGTGCGTGCGTGCGTGCGCGCACACCCCAAACTGCTTTGTTAACCTGTTCCATCCTAATAAATAAATAAAATGGGGTGTTTTGTGTTTGTTTATTTGTTTGTTTGGTTTTTGTTTTTGTTTTTTGAGACAAGAGTTTTCTATGTAGTCCAAGTTGTCCTCATTCTTTTCACCCTGTCTTACAGGTATACACCACACCCAGCCCTGCTGATTCTAAACTGTGTGTGTGTGTGTGTGTGTGTGTGTGTGTGTGTGTGTGTGTGTGTGTGTGTGTGTGTATACATCCTTTGATCCAGCTCCTGGGAATTTATGTACATAAAGACTTCTGTTTGCTCAAATGTGTGCACCCGAGTGTCGACAGTAGCACCAGCCGTATCCCATGTGCCCATCTGCATGTTAGTGGGCTGTGCTCTCTCCATGGTGTGAGACAAGCATTAAAGGCAGCCGTCCTCATGAGTTAATACTTATGGTCAAGATACATTGATTCTATTATGTAAAACTGTCTGTGTGTGAAAAAGGGAGCTGAGGCTATGCATGCTTATATAGCCGTAGAATACCTATGGAAACAATGTAAGAAATGGCTCAGTGGGTAAAGGCCAAGCCCAATAGCCTGAATTTTAGTCCCCACAACCCACATGGTGGAAGGAGAGAACTGTGTTGTCCTCTGACCTTCACACCTTGCTGTGGCATATGCATGAACACACACACACACACACACACACACACACACTTCAGAAAAAAGGAATAGGCTGTAATGTCAATTATATATATATACATATATGCAGATATATGGTTTGATGTCTATAAAATCTAGGGGCTGAAGAGATGGTTCAGTGGTCAAGAGCATTTGTTTCTCTTGTAGAGAACCTAGGTTTGATACCCAGCCCCCTCGTGATGGTTCACAATCATCCATAACACCAGTTCCCAAAGATCCAATGCTCTCTCCTGACCTTGAGTGCCAGGCACACGTGTCTTACATGTACATACATTCAGGCAAACACTCATACACATAAATATTTAAATTTTTAAAAATCTAGGATCATCTGGGCGGCGGTGGTACACCACTTGGTTAAGGCAATGGACTGCTAAAAATCTAGGATTCACAAATGAGAGAAAACATTCCATGTTTATCTTTCTGCATTGGTTTGATTCACTTAATGCTGTTATCACCATTGCATTCATTTTCCCGACAAGGATATGGCTTTGTTCTTATGTATGGCTAAACACAGTTCCACTGTGTGAACCCATGTTATCTTTGGCCATTCTCTGTTCTTGGACATCCAGGTGGCTCCATGGCCAGTGTTGTTAACAGTGCTACAATAAACTGGTGCACGAGTGTCTGTGACATGTTGACCTGGAGTCCTTGTGTCATGAGTAGAAGAGCTGGGCTTCCATAGGATGGACTAGCCTCCATTTCCAGCAGTGCATAAGGACTCCCTGTTGTCCACATCTCACAGCATTCCTTACTTGTTTTCTTAATGATTGCCATTCTGGCTGCGGTGATGGACTCCCATTGTGCTTTGGGTTTGAGTTTTTCAGATGGCTAAGAAGGTTGGACATTTTCTGCATGTGCTTATTGGCACACACACATACACACACACACACAAAACCCTTTTAAGTGGTTTTTTTTTTTTTTTTTTTGGTTTTTCGAGACAGGGTTTCTCTGTGTAGCTTTGCGCCTTTCCTGGAACTCACTTGGTAGTCCAGGCTGGCCTCGAACTCACAGAGATCCGCCTGGCTCTGCCTCCCGAGTGCTGGGATTAAAGGCATGCGCCACCACCGCCCGGCCCTTTTAAGTGTTTTTGAACCATGATTACAAAGTGTTTTTTATTGGGGGGGAATGCATGTGGGAGATGGAACCAAGGGTTTTGCCTATGCTGAGCATGAGTTCCACTGAAAGACCCTAACCCTTCAGGCTTACACCCCCAAGCCCCAGGAAATAAGGAACTAAAAAGAAAACTAGTTCCAAGGGCCACCTGACTCAGCCACTACTCAATCACCCCTGTAACAATGTAACAATGTAAAAAGATTTCTGTTAAGAGATGTGCTCAACTGTGACTGGGATAGTTGCAAGTGTTCCAGGAAGGACCACTGTGACCTTTGTGTAAACTCCACTCCCACCCTGATACCCCTCCTTGAGGTTTCAGGAAGAATGTACATGGATGTGACTGTACCCACTCTGTGATCAGACCATGTTCTTGTGAAACGAAATTGTATGGGAATTGTAACCTTATGGCTTTTGTGGGTTTTTCCTTTAAAAACCCCCATATGGCTGCAGTAAGATGCGGCTCTTGCTCTTAGGAGCAGAGTTTGCCCTTCTGTATAGAAATTTCAATAAAATCCTCATGCTGTTGCATCAACTGGACTGGAGTCTGGGTTCTTGGGACACCCACTTGAGACCCTAAACTTTGGGGTCCAACACCACCACTGAGCTCCACTAAGCCCTTTTTTTTAAAAAAAAATCATGCATATGTCTTTGTGTAGATCAGAGAACAACTTGTGAGAATTGGTTCTCTCCTTCCACCACGTGGAACCTAGAGATCAAACTCGGGTCATCAGGCCTGGCAGGAAGCACCTTTACCTTCCGAGCCATCTCACCAGTCCAGAGCCTAATTTTAAATGTATCATTGGAAATACAGAAGAAACCCAACAGAACAACTGGCAAAACACGTGACTGGGTGATC